TTATTCATAATTAGGCTTGGAAAGATTAGATTTTTATGGGTAGATGTTGATAAATGTTGATTTTACTGTACACACACAAAATGATGAAAAAATACGTCCATCTATAACAGACATTTACAGATAGGCAAAGGGGGGGAAATGCTGCTGGAGAACTTATTAGAGTTTGATTTAAGGCTATTTATTATGTATATATTTGATGTGATTTTGACAATTAGTGTCTTAACTTTTTGAATCTCAGCTTTTACTATAAAAGAATAATTATTGTCTGTCCCTCACAAGTGCCCAGAACTGAACATTTAAAATCAATTAAAACTGCTTAAACCTCATCATGTTGCTCAACTAGTGAAAATTTGAATAAATAAAATAAAAAAATCTCAAAATAGTGATATTTTCCATTGAAATTATTTAAAAAATTGAATTCTGCCAAGTCTAGTCATAATATAACCAAAACCATGTGCTGGGGATGGAGCCAAAGCAGTTTCTCCAGCACTCAGCACAATTGCCATGGTATGAAAGAGAAAAAGAACAAACAGGAAAGAAGAGGCAGTACAAGAAAGAAGCTGTGGAATGAGAATTGATTGTGCTTTGGATTGTGATCTCCTGATTTGCACTAGATAAAGCAACTGGCACATGGGCTTGTATTCCAGATGGATTGTCATTTGTCTGAATATAGAGTAACTCTTTTGGATGGGCAAGCCAGTGATGGCTTTTGAATGTTGCAGCTAGCAATAGCAGCTGTTTTTTACAGTATGGAGGGTACAGAGGGAGGGTTCTGTTGCATAAAAAGAAAGGAATCCACGAGCCTGATTCCTCTCCATGTCACGGTGTTTCAGCAGCATTATTCCTTTTTACATCCCCTACCCCGACACTATTTCCCTATTCGATTCTCTGCCCTGCTCCATAATAACATTTTACAGTTGGATCAAGGTCAGGGCATGAGACCAGAAAGAGAAAATAGCCGAAATAGTGACATCACATCCACACAGTGAAGACAAACAAACAAAATAGAGATCGCCAATCTGAAAATGGATGTAGCTATTTTGAAAATTTGGAGTAGTTTCCTGGGCAGCTCCTCAATGGTATCTTATAACCGGAGCTAGGAGTAGGGTGACCAGACAGCAAATGTGAAAGATCGGGATGGGGTGGGGGGTAATAGGCCCCTATATAAGAAAAAGATCCAAAAATCGGGACTGTCCGTATAAAATCGGGACATCTGGTCACCCTAACTAGGAGAGAAAGAAGGGTAAATAGTTAAAACAAATCTCTTCCCCTACAGTTCTTTCCAAGGCAATTCCAAATAGCCCTTTACTAAATAACTCAAAAAACTCAAACATCTTCTCATATTTTTAAAGTGTGATGGTCTGCTTGATAATTTCCTCTGGATGGAGGAGACTTCAACCAATCTCTTAGATCCTAGATTATGTGCATCACATTCTGCATCAAGTCGATATGGCTGAAATCACTTGGTAACATGAACATGACAAAGGGGGCAGCTAGTGCAGCAAGGAAACCCATTTATTTAAGCAAAAGTCTTCAATCTCCTCTCACCCAAGTAAAATAAGCCCACGCTGGCTGGCTGTTACTAATAGTTTGAGCTAGCTGAGTAGTCAGAACTGTGCTGATGGCCTTTTTAAGGTTTCTAAACAGACCTATGTTCAGGGATTCCATTAGATCTTTTAACCCTTCTGTCATATAATACTATTATTCCTTATTATCTACTGTCTGTAGTAGAGGCGCCATCTTTCTTAGTTGACGGAGGGGTGCTCGACCCTCACTCCGCCCCAGCCCCCACTCCACTTCTTCCCCCAGGGCCCCACCACCTGCCGCTTCCCACCCCCACTCCACCCCCTCTCTGTCTCTTTCTGCCCACCGTTCCTCCCTCTCCCCCCAGCACCTCCTGCATGCATGCCCCTGAACAGCTGATTGTGACTGGTGGGAGGTGCTGGGGGGAGGGGGAGGAGCTGATCGGCAGGGCTGCCGGTGGGTGCTGAGCATCCCCTTTTTTTTTCCAGGGCTGGAGCACCCATGGAGTCGGCGCCTGTGGTTTGTAGTGCCCAAAGTGTGCTAGAGAAGACACGATGCACATCCCAAAGTACTTAAAATCTATACAGAGCATGACACAAAAAGCAAATGCAAAATATAACAAAATGTACTGTGGGAAACAGGCCGTGGGAACAGACGACAGGATTTTTAACAATGTCATATTGCGTTGGCCCAGATGCTGCAATGAGGTGTAGGAGGGTGGGCCTCTACTCAGAGATCCACCCACATGGAGCTCATTGCAGGATTAGAACTTTAGAAAGGTATGACCACACAACTTTAGGGGTTTATATTTTGTTGATTTATATTTTAATTTTGACTAGTTTTTGCTTTTCGGTCTATTTTTATTATATAAAATATACACAGTGAACTTTGGTATAGTGAAACTCTATTTGTAGGGAAGGTGAATGAAAGTCCCAATTAGTTAAATGCATTCACAATGCGAAAAATCACAGTCCCAGTTACAGTGCATCTCTGCTTATGGTGAAGTTGTTCTGTGACTGCAACTTTATTGTAACTACTGATTGTAACTGCCAGAGGCCCTTCCGTGCCTGCAGAACAAAGAGCAGGATTTGCACCTTAGAGCACACAACAAAATAAGCTGACTGTCTCTGTGGTGGAGCATCTCACAGCATTCCTAAATACGTTTATAATGTTACCAGTGCAGTCAGTGGGGAGACACAATAGAAATGCCTACCTTCTTATTTAGTGCATATTGGAAATCGTTACAGTTTTATTTTAGAGAAAATATTAACTTTCTCCTGATTTTATGACATCTACAAATATATGATAGAGCAGCCTGAGATGTAACTTGTCAGTCATATTTGTAAGTGCTTTGAACACTCAAAGTGAAGTAAATGCTACATATTATTATTATGCAAGTGCTAAGTACTATGATTATGGTAGTGAAAATGGTGTAGCAATTACAACTATAACATCCTAATGCAATGGGACTAACTAACCATTGCATTACTTACATTTTATTCCAGTGTAACATCACTAAAATCAGTTGAGTTATGGAGTGATCAATCAAGGCCAGTATATGAAGAACAGAGTCAAATAATTACTTTATAAATTGTTTCTAATTGGTAACTCTCAATTACCGTTCAAACATAGGTTTTGCTCACTATAAATGTTATTAATGTGTACATTTTATGCTGTCGTGTTGTAGAAGCACCAGGTACAATATATGCTAATGCAGGGCAATGCAGATGAGAAACAATACACTTTTCCTTAGCATAAAATATTACCAGTGTTTACTCTATTTCAAATTAACTTTCATTTAGGTTTGTGAATTTTACAAATATGATATGACAGCTTGAAATATTACTTTTGCAGCATGGACAAATGTCAGGAAAATTATCCATCTGTGCTCACAATGGCACCCAGCTGCATTGTTGCCTCCAGTAAGATGGTGTCTGATGTCACTCAAATGAACAGAAGCATTCATTTCTTTCTTGAGATTAAATAAGAGATATTTGTACATGACAGAATGTTTAATATATGGTATATCACTCTGTGAGTTCTGTTTTCACCCTTGCATACTGTTATTTTTCTCCCACTGTTGATATGTCAATTTCAAATTCTGCCCACTGAACAGTTACATTACCTACCAACATATTGTGGTGTTCCTATTGCAGAATTTTCATGGGAATTAAGCAAATTGAGTAGGCATAATTTTTGTCCACTACAAATCTACTTTCTCATTACACAGAACAATAATAATCAGTTATTAAAAATCTATGTTTCCATAAGCTTAAGAATGCCCAGTCAGAAATATCCATACTGTGAAATATCTCACTCTCTTACAGCTCTTACACATGAATAGCTAATAAGAATTTTGTTCAGGTTCATAAAGAAGAAACAGCTCATCAAGCAACTCGGTAAACACCTGAAAGAATGTAAACATTATATAAACCAAGCACTGCAAGAAAAGAATTATGCAGGAATTCAGAAATGATGATTAATATCTATAATAATAGTAATAGCGTTTAGAGTGCTTTACATCTTCAGATCCCATTACAAGCGTTAAGCAATTAATCAAATAAAATGAGTGCTGTAGATTATTTGCTGCAGCCAATTCTTAAGCAATGCTTTTTTTTAACCTCTCTAGCATTCTGATTCCCTGCATGTGTCCCATTTCATAAGGTCACATCAAGTTATGTTGTGTCAAATAGCATTTATTAACTCAGCCTAAACTCAGTCAGCATGACATATACTACATTGCACTTTGTATCAAAAATGAAAAGCAATTCCACTGATTTTTAAATCCATGCAAAGGCCAGCAGATACCTGGGTGATTTTCGTATTTATTGCATACCAAGTTATTACATGGCAGGAATGATTTTCTCCTCCTAGTAGGAGAGTAATACCAACTGATGCTAATAGGAATTACTGATGCACATCAATAGGGCACTAGACCCCTTCATTTTTCAGCATGGCTAGGAGATACTGCTGTGCCACTTATATTCCAATTTGTGAAGAGTAAAAGCTCACCACAAAGACAGATTTTCCTTCTACTCTGCTGAGCTTATGTCTCATTAGAGTGTACACAAGGGGCAACAAAACTTAAAGATGTAAATTCTATGAGGGCTAGTCTATACTACCCACCCGGGTCAGTGGGTAGAAAGCGTTCTCTCGGGGATTGATTTATCGCGTCTCGTTGGGATGCGATAATCTATCCCTGAATCGACGCGCGTACTCCACCAGCCCAGGTAGGAGTAAGCGCCGTCGACGGGGGAGCCGCGGCAGTCGATTTGCCGCCGTCCTCACAGCAGGGTAAGTCGGATCAGATACATCGAATTCAGTTACGCTATTCCCGTAGCTGAATTTGCGTATCTTAAATCGATTCCCTCCCCTCTCTCCCCCTCCCCCCCCGTAGAGTAGACGTAGCCTGAGTGTGGTCATGACAAGAAAGACATGGAAGCAAGGGGACTTAAGAAGCAAAAAAGCTGGTTTACCTGATACTGTATAGCACTTTCCCAGTCTTAGAAATCCTCAGCAACTTGTTGTCTGTTGTAACATCATGGAAGTTTGCACCTTTCTCATTGGCAAAGAATAAATCAGGCTTCCAAATAGAGTCCAACATAGATGGATCCAAATCCAAGGAGTCATCGGGGTATTCACTGTAAGCCAGGCGTGAGTCGTTCCACTGCTGTCTCAAAAAGATGTTCACTCTGTAGTCCTACGGAAATGCCATGCACAAAAGTCAATCTCTTGCCAAGGTGAGAGTTCAGTTTAACTTTCCTGATGCTCACAATGATTTTAGGTTCAGTGCGGTACCAATGATATGATAAACCTACATATTACTCTTCCCTTTGAATGAGAGAGCTATTATTTAAAAATAAGGCAGTGCAAGTGGCATACTGCACCAAACTAGTGCAACAGGTACATTTTCCAAATCAAATACGATAGTCCCTTTTCAGCTGATGAAGATAATATCACCTACAGCCATAATATTAACTACAACCCCCTATGCAATACTGTGGATTAACATGAAGCTCAGAAATATCAAAGTATTACTAGCTGTAGAGTTTTCAGTAATCGCAATGTAAAATAAACAGGTATGAAAATATCCCAAAGAGTAACTTAACTCAATCATTCACAATCTGTAAATCAACAGATTCCAGTGCTCCAGGAGATAGGTACTAAAAGCTTTTGATACAGTCTCCCACAATATTCTTGCCAGCAAGTTAAAGAAATATGGATTGGATGAATGGACTATAAGGTGGATAGAAAGCTGGCTAGATCGTCGGGCTCAACAGGTAGTGATCAATGGCTCGATGTCTAGTTGGCAGCCGGTATCAAGCAGAGTGCCCCAGGGGTCGGTCCTGGAGCTGGTTTTCTTCAACATCTTCATTAATGATCTGGATGATGGGATGGATTGCACCCTCAGCAAGTGCGTGGATGACACTAAGCTGTGGGGAGAGGTAGATATGCTGGAGGGTAGGGATAGGGTCCAGAGTGACCTAGACAAATTGGAGGGTTGGGCCAAAAGAAATCTGATGAGGTTCAACAAGGACAAGTGCAGAGTCCTGCACTTAGGACGGAAGAATCCCATGCACTGCTACAGGCTGGGGACTGACTGGCTAAGCGGCAGTTCTGCAGAAAAGGACCTGGGGATTACAGTGGATGAGAATCTGGATATGAGTCAACAGTGTGCCCTTGTTGCCAAGAAGACTAATGGCATATTGGGCTGCATTAGTAGGAGCATTGCTAGCAGATAAAGGAAAGTGATTATTCCCCTCTATTCGGCACTGGTGAGGCCATATCTGGAGTATTGCATCCAGTTTTGGGCCCCCCACTACAGAAAGTATGTGGACAAATTGGAGAGAGAGTCCAGCAGAGGGCAACAAAAATGATTAGGGGGCTGGGGCAGATGACTTACAAGGAGAGGCTGAGGGAACTGGGCTTATTTAGTCTGCAGAAGAGAAGAGTGTGGGGGAATTTGATAGCAGCCTTCAACTACCTGAAGGGGGGGTTCCAAAGAGGATGGAGCTTGGCTGTTCTCAGTGGTGGCAGATGACAGAACAAGAAGCAATGGTCTCAAGTCACAGTGGGGGAGGTCTAGGTTGGATATTAGGAAAAACTATTTCACGAGGAGGGTGGTGAAGCACTGGAATGGGTTACCTAGGGAGATGGTGGAATCTCCATCCTTAGAGGTTTTTAAGGCCCGGTTTAACCAAGCCCTGGCTGGGATGATTTAGTTGGGTTGGTCCTGCTTTGAGCAGGGGATTGGACTAGATGACCTCTTGAAGTCTCTTCCAACCTTAATATTCTGATTCTAATTCCATAGGAGCTGATTATGTGGTATAATTTCTCCTATCTACATCTTAGTTCCTGTTCATAACCTTTGTGTACCTATTGTATGTTTTTCTCTAATTCTCTACTTCTCCACATCTTTTCTACTTATCTTTATGTTAATTGCATTCTCCTGCCCAATAACCTTTTAGTTACAACTGGGAGGACAGAAATTATTAAGTGGTTCATTTAGAGCTAACTTTAATACTGTGGCAAAACTGGCCATTAAGAGGGAATGTTATAACTATAACAGCATGTAGGTACTGATCCAAAGCCCATTCAAGTTGATAGGAAAGACAGTTACATATATTCTGAGTGTATCATTTCTAAAGAGGTTCCATGCTCAACAAATACAGATGTGGCATTGATCGCTTTGTTGCTGTAGTTATATATTTAACTGACATCAAACCCCCTACATTTAACTGCCCTGAGAATAGTTTATCAGAAATCTATATGCCATTCATCTTGAATATTTTAGTTTCAGAAATATTTAAGGATATTAAAACTGATGATATTATCTGAAAGAAGCAATCTGTTAGTGAAAGGGACTCGAAATAATTCCATCTTCTGCACAAAAATCCTGCATTTAGGATTTATTCTGCAGTAGCTAGAATATATGAAAATGGCAGCAATATGCTTCTGACTTGGAAAATGTATGAGTTGACATTTGTTTAGTTAGGCCACTGAAATGCATAGGCTAAAGAATGTATCATCACTGAAAAATAAGATAATATTCTCCCAATGATTAGTGATGCCATAAGTTATTAGCTAACTATACAAACTCTGACGAATAAGCCCCTCCAAGTTTGAGTTTTCCACTGTTCATTCATGAGGCTTGTGATGAAAAATGTGTTGCTGAACTGACAAAACATTTCAAATAGCTCCAAGTATAGCGACTGATGAAGCTCCTGAAACCATAGGATAATGTTTTGGGATTTCATTGGGAGCATGATTTTTTTTTTAAATTTTACCTGTGTGGATATGAGCCAAATATGAGTGTCAGAGAGTAATAAGGGGCTGATATTGGGGGGCTGAGCTCATGGAAAGTCAATTATTAGAGGCACTGATAGAATTTTTCAAAGAAAAGCCTACATATATTTTTCACAAGCCAATTTTTTCTGCGCTATGGAGTTTCATATGGTTTATGATTAAACATATATTTTGAGTTCTAAATTGCCAAAGCATCTTTGTATCACATACGGAGACAAACTCTAGGCGTCTCCTTTACTCATTTTCTCAGCCTTAGAAATACAGTAATTATCTTGTAAATGTACATGGGACAATTTCCACTACAAAGATATGAAAATACTCTAACAAAATTACTACAGGAAAGAGGGGAAGTGCCAGCAGGGAAGAGGGAAGATTGCTTAGGACATAAAGTTAATATATTCAACTGTGTGAGTGGCTTTTAATTTCTCTGAAGTGGGACACATACTGAAGTTAAATGAAAGCAAAGGGATTTTTTATTTCCAGGACACTTCTATAATTGTTCACTTAAATCATTACAGTCTTTAAATTTCCTAAAAACCTATAAAAGAAATATGCTTTCATCAGCTGCAGTACACACTAATTTAGATTAGAAGTAATGAACTGCCAAGTCCTTTTTGTTAGAAGCGTTAGTATAGGATGATATACATTATACCAAAGCTGAATTTGAATACCAACAGCCTTAAATGATCCTTTACTGACACAGCTGGAAGGATAATATTCAGATCGATCATTCTGGTATATTTGGAAATATTTTCTCAGCACATTTTTGTGAGAAACAGAATAGCATTATTATAGCCCCTCTTTGTCTCTAATTATTTTTGCTTCCCGTCTTGATGAAAAATTAAAATGAAACACAAACTTTAAAAGGTAGTCCTGGATTTCTTTCTCTGCTGCCTCTTTGCAACAGGGTAAGCAGGAGGGTGTGGAATGCTAGGAGGACCATAGGTTAAGTACAATGATACAGTATCTTGTCTAAAATTTTGTATTTCTCTGAGATTATGTTTTTTTGCTGATGCTATGAATATCATCCTGGAAAGCAGTCTTTTCTGAGAATGATATCACAATTTGGCGTATCGGACAGCACATGAGTTATTTGGTAAATTCCTGAAGGCAAGAATGGCTGGAAGGTATTAAACAACTCACAGAGGGCTGATTTACACCAGCTGAAGAACCGATTCACAAACTTTAGCTAATTGCATTTGCTGGTGTCACAGAGAAATGAGGTCTGAACACAGGACTGGGAAACAAAACCTCCAAGTTCTAATCCCATCTGTGGCCCAGGGAAAGTCATTTAACTTGTTTACCTCGGTTCCCCACTATCAAGTGGGGGTAACCGCACACACTTTTTCACAAAGGAGGGTTGAATATGAATTATTGTTGTTAATATTATTATTATTTATTAGTTGATAGTCAAAAATTCTTTGAAGATTACGGGCTCAACCCATGGATGCACCAAGTTAATACTAGACACAGCTCAGGAAATTGGCTGCACAGAAAGGGCGGTAGAAGATCCTGGGCCAGGAGGGGACCAAAATAGCCAGCAATGTAATTTAGAAGAACGGCAGGACTGTTCTAAATTACTCGGACTGCAGACAGCTGCTGTGCTAGCTGGAGATCTGTCAGAGTGCTGTGCATTCCGTGGGGCTTTTTTCCATCCCACCCTTCCCCCAACAGGGCTTTATTCACCCAAGGATGTGATTCAGGTGTCTGGGGGAATCAGCTGCCCCTCCCAGCCTCAGCAGCACAATGCATTTGCAAGAGGATCAGAGAACTATACTATATAAATTCTAAATATTAATATTATCTGGCAGAGAGTTGTTAAATGACCTGTTGTAGGGCCCTGAATCAGCCAGGTGCTTGAGTACACAGACTTCTGTGAGACTACTCATGTACTTAATGTAATGCACATGCTTAAATACCTGGCTGAACCAGGGCCTAAGTGGCTAACTTGTCGTCCCATTTTTTATAGTGAAAAGATGACACTGTCCATGCAGCCACAACAAAGTTCTATTGCACTTTACCAGTTGTAAAGAAAGGGCTAATTTATTTGCTGGAGTAAGTGGGTGGAATGCCACTGAAGCCAGCAGAGAACTTATCCCAAATGTCAACCATTGATTAAAGTACACACCAGCAATACAATATCCTTGCAATTAGGCATGTCTATAATGAACAATTAGTTTGTCAATCTATAAACTGCTCTTAGCTTCTCCATGGGCAATAGCTAAAAACCCCTGGTCATTAGTTACAATGAACAACTGAATTCTCTGGCAGTGTTGCTCAGCTTGAGATAGATTACTCATCTATGATATTTAATCACAGCTATTTCATGCTGAGGTTTTACTGATTAATTCTGCACGTGTAAAAGGATTCAAAATAGTTATGTCAGCGGACCAACTTCATCCCCGCTGTATCTCTGCTTTGATCAGTGGAGTTACATGAAGGATGAGTTGGCCCACTCTTCATAACATAAGGCCTGATCCAAAGTGAAGACAATGAAAAAACTCCCATTGACATGAAACGGCTTTGTATTAGGCCCTTTGTTATCTACCACTGTTCTGGCATAATGTACATCATCCTCACAGGGAAGAAAACAATTTCCTTTGGAATTAAAAAAAAAAAGTGATACTGTCCCATTTGTGTATTACAGTTCAGAAGAATTAACAAGGCTGCATTTTGTCTCTGTGGATCATTTCAGAGAATTGAGAGTGAAAACTCACAGCAGAACTGCAAGTTGTGTTTTATAAACTGAATTTTTTAAAAATAAATATTTTTCATAAATGCATACTTCAAAATGTATTCATACCATTACAAATTAAAAAAACCCAAAGCTGAGAAATTTCAGTAAATTAGGGTAGTAAACATGTAAGGTGGAATTTTCAAAAGTCCTTAGCATTGGCTTAACTCTGCTCCCATGGAAATCATCAATAAAATTCCCACTGATTTAAAAGGGAGTGGAGTTGGGCTAATATGGAGGGTTTTTTTTTAAGAAAAGCCCACCAACAAAATACAAAATTAACTTCAATTTCCCACCAACCTTTCATCATTAGTACAAAGGTATCAAACTATGCAGTCATTTCAAAACTACTGCTGGCTGTGAACACAGAACCTGTTACTGTTTAAGGACAAAGGGCCCATTCCACCAGTTTACCCAGGGTCAAATTGTTCTCATGCATTCAGATCAGTGAAACTTGTGCATATCACACGAAATTCACCCCTCTGCAGGGGACTTGCACAAGGTATATCCACCACTTAAGTTCCATTTAAACCTTCAAAAGAGGGCTTGAGTGGGACTTAAGTGAGGCAAGAGACTTATGCTGACCTACAGGTTGAATTTCACTCCTGTATCCGTCCTACTCAGAAGTCAGAAATGATGCCTGTTGGTGTTAATAAGAATTTTCCCTAAGCAAATATGGCAGAATTGGGCCCCAAATCCTGCCTTTCTCTCAGTGAGCTCATCTGAGAGCCGAATTTGGTCCCCAAAGATTTTCAATATGCCTCTTCCAAGCAATGTTCTGAAAATATCCCCTTTAGTACTTAAAACCTAAGTACTTTAAGCATTTTGGTCCTCTGAGACATGAGTGTCTTCTTTTGATTTTCAATCTAATGTATAACCTACTTACAATTTTTTTATTTTTTTTATTTTAGTTTTATGTCAAAATCATCAAGAGCATTTGATGGGAACAAAATGAGTTCTAGATAGAAAAAAAAAAGCCCTCATTATTTATCACAAGGGATGCAAAACTTTTCAGCACATAATTAAATTTACTTTGGAAAGCAAAGTAGATGAGCAGTAATTGATGCCTGCCTTTAGGAACATTTTAAAAACATACTCTAAACTAGTCATTAATGCGATAACAGTATTAGGAAAATCAATATCAAACGGCTGAAACAGCACCCACTTTAACAGAACTCATTCAACACTATCTGCAGATATTATGAATAAAGCAAAACAAGGAAGCCAACAGTCTTTGTTTTCATTTACTTGAGTGTTTAGCTTTTTTCAGCAGAATGTGTTAATGAACATTGAAAAGGTGCACATTAACATATTTGATAGATAATAAAATGCAATGAGGGGATTTAATCAAAGCAATGAAGGAGTCTAATTAATGCAATCAGCATTAGGTCGTGCAAATATTTTCATTGAATGCCATCTTGTAAAGCCAGTGACGTGCAGGATTTTTGCTACTTAATGCTGTGCCTCTCTCTCTATGTGCTAAGACCAACAGAAAAATGTGTGACTAAATGCAAAACCCAGGACTATGTGCATAGAACTTTCTTCTCAGAATCCTTTAGATTTAGGAAATCTTACCAAGACTTTAAGGATACTGAAAATAAAGTCTGTTGATTGTTATAAATTATGTGGTATTCTGATTTTTCCCCTCCCTCTCAATTTCAATGTTGTTTTGATTTTCTTGTCAAGGTCATTTAAAAAGATTATGTATAAATACCGTAAGTCAATGCTTTTCAACCTTTTTCATTTGTGGACCCCTAAAAAATTTCAAAAGGAGTTGCGGTCTCCTTTGGAAATTCAACCTGTGGTCCCTCACTATAGAAGTCTTACACTGAAAACTGACTGAACAGAATTCAGCTATAAATGTTGTACAGGCTTGACACGGCATTTGATGCAACGTGAGAAAGGGTGCTAAACTGTGGGTTTCTATGGTAACAACAACAATCCCGGGTTTTGACCTGTAGGTGGGAGTATTCACATACTTTTGATTGATCAGAAAAATGGAATGCCTTTTCTGGGATCTGAAACTTTATTTTCACTGTCACCTTTTGCGGACCTCTTAGACATAGTTTGCGGATCCCCAGGCTCCGCGAACCACAAGTTGAAAACCACTGCTGTAAGTTATCACCTATACTGCCTCCACTCTGCTGTATCCCCTTATGGTTTATACTGGGGACACTCTCTTTCCATATTATGTAAGAAAGTTGCCTAGTTTGTTAAAAATGCAGTTCATTGATTCTTTAGTGAAAAGTTAGATAGAGGTTTTTCAAAAGCACCAAAGGATTTAGGAGAATAAGTCCCACTCATTTCTGTAGGACTTGAGCTCCTAAATCTCTTCAGTGCTTTTTAAAATTTAAAATGATGGCATAATTAAATAAATACTTAAATCAGGTATCTATTAACTAGCTAAGATACACACATGTTCTTTCAGAATGCAAACATTTCAGGGCAACATTTATAACCATATTATTTAAAACCTGTGCTTGATTTGCCATGTCTTTTTATAGATAATGTGTTTGATGTTGATTATAGGGGTTTGGTCCTGCCAAGTGCTGAGAAATCTCTACTGTCTTTGACATCAACAGGTCTATAAGGCACTCAGCAGCATAGGATGGAGCCATAAGGGGACTAAACAACACAGTGTCAGAACTGCTGTGTGATTACTTCAGAATAGCTCACAGCTCTTTCTTTAAAGTGGTGCACAGGAATCTCATTGGATTTTGTTGTGGAATGAGGTATATTCTCATTTCAATGGGGTTGTGAATACACCTGATTTTTAGGTAGGAGGGGGCAGGGGAAGGTTAAATCTGAATCCAAATTGCAACATGCAGCTAACCTTATCTACAGTAGACTGAACTAAATCCCTGGATCCAAATACTCCAGAATTTTCAAGTATTCAAAATATGAATTCATTCTGTGGTGCCAACCCATTTCTAGTTTCTGTAGTGGGTTGAACACTTAAAGTACTATGGACAAGACTCCACCGCACTCAATCACCGTAGCTTGGCTCCATGTATAGTCCCATCAAAGTCTATAGGCCTGTTTGTAGCGTAAGAATCCATGAATGGAAAGATGGCCAAATACTACCTGTCCGGAGTGCTTTGCTATTTTAAAAAAAGTCCCTTCAGCATTAACAGGAATTATGAACACTAGAAGGGAGCATGTGCACCAAAAGTTCTTCTTTTTAAATTATAATAGAGGTGTATGAATCTCAGCACTTAAGGTTCACAAGAATTTGTGGGGAATCTGTTCTTTGAACCTAATTGTATAGATTAATATCCGCTCCGTTTTGCTTTGAGTTGTCAGGTTCAAACAAAAGCAAAGACTCAAAGCAAATCTGGGAGAAAATTGTCTCAGTCTACCTGATGTTGGGTTGAGTTTTTCCTGGTTTCAATCTCAAAACCATAAATAGGCCAAATTCACTTAAATGTAGTTAAGATTGCCCCTATAGGTTCACACATGTTTTGGTGAAATGGTCATAGTTTCCCATCTGTAACAAAACCTGAAGTCAGAAGAGTTGTATCTGGTTCATTTCAGTTTCATTACTGAAATGTCACACAACTCTAATTTATAGCCCTGGAGATTACTAAAATATGTAAAGCTCTAATTGTAGCATTATGATGCAAATGTGAGACAGAGCCATCAGACATTTCTCTTAGAGTTAACCTTGATTTCCATGTGTATATTCAGGGGATACATTTATTTAAGTCATAACCATATTTTTTTACTACTTTGACAAAGTATTTATTATTTAGAGCACCATTTCTGACAAAAAAAGCAAACACCAACAGTAGCTATTCCTAACCTTTAGCACTATGGTATGTAAAGTTTATTGTATTTTAATACTATAGGTACATTCTTAGTAGCTTAGGAACTCAGTAACTATCCCCACATCTATAATAGCACCATTCTATACCACATCCCACTCCTTCACAAGATGGCTTCAATGGTCAGTCCCACTCACCATTGTAGTTTCTGCTATTGAACCAAAGCTGTTGATAAATATGTTGCAGGTAACATTTACAGGAGGACCTGCAAGTTGAACAATAAATAGAAAAATTGACAGGTTCTGTTCATGACATATCAAGTATTGTTGTTTTCTTGCCAGTGGCATCATAACACTTACCATTGTGGTTTCTGTGACTGATCCAAAACTGTTGATAAAAATATTGCAAGTAACGTTTACTGGAGGACCTGTGGAATGCAATAAAAATGTTGCAATATACAGTGAAGCAAAAGCACAGATCCATCGACATCTGTACAGACTGGTACAGATGTGGATGAAACTAAGTAGAAAAGTGAGATTTCACAGTCAAAGTCATGTGCATGTCCATCAAAGAAACAATATCACCACAACTACTTTGATTAGATTGGTTTTGTGAGAAAATATTTTTACTTTTTTCATGTAAGGATTTATGAAAAGTGTTCGATTGACAACATTAGACACAAAAGTTCTTTGTTAATCCACCAAACCAGAACAACACAGGCAGCAGCATTGTAATCTTCCCACATTGCCCCACATCGCAGCCCAGCGATGAAGAGACCATCTCTGGCAGTTCAGTCATCATGCCTATTCCATTCAGTCCTTGGCCTTTCTGCTGAGACTTCCAACAAGGGCAACTATTAATGTAGACTCCTGTCCATTAAAAACAGGATTCAGACAACCAACCCTTTTCACATCAGACACCAAGATGCCTCTTAAGCATAACAATGTTTGGTCACTACCAATCTTGACTAGGCACAGCTTTTGGTAGACAGCAACACTATTTCCTCTGTCCCCCACTCCAACCTTCCCCATTATTTAGGAATCACTGAAGCGCATAAACATGAAGGGAGCCTAAATGATATTTAATTTTTAACTACTAGCTCTTTAGCTATGATGTAACAAAGAGGTGGTTTTAAATGAATTCCTAATCAATCAGATTGGACTAAGGCTAGATGATTGAATTCAGGCAGTGGCAGAGTTCACATATGCAGTTAATATTACATACATTTTTTCTATTTTCCCATTATCAATTTTTTAATCTTAAAATTTTCCTGATATTTAAAAATTCTGTATTTCACATTTGCATTTTATGAAAGGCATAGAATATTTGTAAAAGTAAAAAGTAACATTCCTTTGGGGTGTTTAAAAGTGCATTTCAGTGGAGTCCAGCAATCTTAGTTTTATTAACAAAAGGGTTTTGTGCGAAGTTCTCTTTTGTCTTGGAACAAATACCAGCCTAAAAGCTACTGCAAATGAAGTGCTGCATTGTTCTCTTTTTCACAGTCAGAGGTGTAGTTTTTAACAGCATTTCCTTTTCTTCCCTTCTCCCAAGTTTCAGTCTAGTAAACCCAACATTTTGCTCATTTCATATCTTCTCACTCAAGGCATTCATTCCAGCTGTGGAATTTTGGCCAACAATTTCTGTATATCTAAATATTGCCAATGCATCCACTCTCCTTTTCTGCACGTTCACCTTGCTATCCAGAAATAATTCCAATTTATTAATGAGGCATGAATTTGTTGTTCCTTATTTGCATTTATTTATAAATCCATCATATGATTTATAATAGGTACTTTACAGATAAAAAAGGCATTTGCCAAATAAACTTACACTCTATGGCCCCAGTCCTGCAACATTCATAATGTGGGATAGGGGGCCGCACCTGCAGAGAGCCCCAGTGAAGTTAGTCTGTTTGCACATTGTAAAAGGGGGCCTAGTTAAATAATGTCTAGGGAAAGAATAGGAGATGCGTGTAATAAAAAAGAAAAATGACTCCGCAGTCCAGTTTGGCACACATCTTAATTCCCTCTATTTTTTTTCTTTTGAAGATTTTTCTTTTGTTGGTTTTGTTAGTAGTTCACATAGGGTGTGGGGGATAATCGTTTGTTGGCCTTAAAGGGGAAGTGTGGCTTTAAGGAAAGAGTGTTCACAACACTTTTAATTTTAAAAAGTTTCATACACTTGTATCCCTTCTTGAAGATTATCTCATCTAATAGTGCATTTGGCATTACAGTGGCAAAAACTCTTCAACTGCACTTGAGGTTTCAGAGCCTGTTCCAAAACCCACAAGCTTTCACCTGATTTGACTAATCAAATCCCTACCTCTAAAAACCAAGCAAAACTGGATGTTAAATCAAGTCCTCTGTTTTGATATGCATCTAATCCTTTCATTAAGTATTACTACATTATTTTTGGCTACTTTTTAGTCTTCTAGAATAGGATAAACCATGGCTGAGTATGCAACCATACTCCAGGGTTTTGACGTTCTACTGACTGGATTACCATACATTTTGGATCCATATAAGAGCTAGGTATTATTATGATTATTTAAAATAAAAAAAATCTTCATCCCGGTTTCCAAATGGAGTTAGTCCCAAAAAAGGATAGCTGAAGTGTGAATCCATCAGAAAGAGGGCAACTGCTTGTCTGCCAGATAGCTAGAGTTTCATAGTATTTACGATCCCATCATCTCCCCAGCAGGCCTGAGCCTACTGCCAGCTAACCAGACTTCCTAGTGTGCATCTTTCTAAAAGAGGCCTGGTCCTTTAAAGTGCAGCACACCTCCTGTAACTAGAGGCTACTTAGTACCTCACAGAATATTTTCCTGAATTGAGCCCTCAGTATCCTAGAGATAATTCTCCAGAGTTGGCTGAGACATGCTTTTTTGACAGTTCCCATATTTATGATATGTAGCTGTGGACTTTCCTCTGTATGAGTAGCGTATAAGCCTCTCCCTGCCAGCTGCTAGAGGGGGGTCTGTACACTCCATCACACAGGAGTACTGCTGAATTGAATTAAGTGTGCATAGAATTGTCTGCTGAGGCTTTTCCAGTTGTTAACTCTGTTTTTGTCAGTGGCCTTTGATGCACATTCTCTGGTGCTGGTGTCTTATGTTGAATGCCTCATTTACTAGATATGGTCATTTCTAGATTTATCTTTTCTCCTTGCCCTGGAGAGTTTTTTTCACCTTCATCCAAACTCTGTACTCTCTAGTATTCAGTCTGCACATGGTGACTTTTTTCTTCACGTGAATCAGATTCTCTATGGGCTGGTCCACACTAACTAGCTGGTCCCCCACTTCGAACTAAGATACGCAACTTCAGCTACGTGAACAACGTAGCTGAAGTCTAAGTATCTTGGTTCAACTTACCGCGGGTCCACACGCAGCAGGCAGGCTTCCCCGTCAACTCCGCCAACTCCTCTCGTGGAGCAGGAGTACCGGTGTCGACGGCGAGCACTTCCGGGATCGATCCCAGAAGATTGATTGCTTGCCGCCGGACCCAGAGGTAAGTATAGACATACCCTTTAACTACAATGTCAATGGTGTTGTCATTATATGAGAGGTATAAAATAATTCCCAGGTGTTTGACAATTTTCCTTGGACATTTATTTGGGCAAAGGGATATATAAGGAAAGAATAATTATTGAAAATCAAAGAATGGGATACAGGCACAACACATGAACTGGGGGGTGGGGGGAGTGGAAAGATGTGTAAGCACAATCAGAGATAGAGAAGGAAAAACACTTCTTTTCACATACACAGAAAATGAATGTGAAAATCCTAACAGGCTGAGTGAAGAATGACAAGCATATTCAGGGCCTACCCTTGAGATCACAACTCATTGTAAATTCTCTCCTTAGGCCTAGAGTCTCCCTCGAACTATGTGCTCCCACAGGGAAGTAAGAACACCGCTAATTGCCCAGTGTGGGATTCCCACATCTTGGGTCTGGGCATACAGGAATAAGAGAGTGCTAAGCACCCATTATTACCCCCACCTGGAGTAGGTGGGCAGGGAATGGATGGGGAATGAGCAGAGCCTTGACTCCAGTTACCAATATGCCAGTAAGCACAGCTGAGCTGGCCTGGGAACTCTGCAGTTTGCAGGTGATAGAGGACAGCAGCAAATTACTTCCTCCACCTCCCAAAGCAAGGGAGAAGTAAGGAGGTAACTGTGCTGCAGAAAGGTGCCAGTTTTGAGGTGCAGGGCCTTCCTGAAGTGATGCAATTTACACACCATTTGCTCAGGGATATACCTAAAGGCATAATCTAGCCCTATACCAGACAAACTCACATTGAAATCAGTGATTTTGCCTAAGGACCAGGTGAAAAACAGAGCCAGTTGTAGCTGGCCTTTATGGAGGTGCACAGGAGAAGAGGGGAGAAATCAAGGAGCCTTCCTCCTACATTGCATGGTCCATGTAAGTTGCAGTGCCTATGCTCAGAAGAATGCAGGCTCTGCTTACTATCTGCACTCCACAGGGGTCTAATGCTCCCTAGCAGGGGTGAGGAGAAAGTCTGGCCATAGCACCACCTCTTCGCCCTACCAGCCTGCAGGAGCGAGACTGTTGAAACTAGAAGAGGAACCAGGAAAACATATATTGATTTTAGCTGCCATGAGCTTTGGACAAATACAACTTTTTCTTCAATCTAAACAGAGACACCTAGCTAGAGTGTTAACTGTGAGGAAAGAGGGAGCAACACATCATTCACAAGAGGCAAGAAGTAGGGGGACCAAATGCACATGTGGTCCCCTGAATGCTTACTTATAAATGTGACATTTCTCACCAAAGAGTAATGTACTTTGTTTACTCTGATGTCGTTTTGGAGTGCATCATGCTGTTTCCCTAAGCATGACAGTGCCTAATAAAAATAGAAATCCCTTTCCTTTAGGGCCTATTTAGAAAAATTCTCCATAGTGCAATATATTGTAACCATTAATAGCCTTAAATCTCTTTTGTTCTTCATTGATGACAATTTCAGCCATTAAGCACAAAAAAAAGGACAAAGATGTCAGGGACCTCTGAAATGCAGTAATTGCATGGTATTTTACGAGGATCCAATTTACTGGAACAAACAAATAGACCCAAAATTATTATTCTGCTTGATCAAGCTAAAGCCAATATCATCTTTAAGTGCCTTCCTCTTTACAATAGCTTAGTTAACTGAACACGTTGTGTCTAGTATCATCTAACTATGACAACGCACAATTCTGGGTACCTGCTGTAGTAGTGAGATGATGGAATTGCATTTTGTGGAACTGACATACGTGTATCAGCAATAGAATAAACTTATTCTGCCTAGCCCAGGGGTGGGCAAACTATGGCCCGCAGGCCAAATCTGGCCTGTGAGCCGTTTTCAGCCATCCCGAAAGCTGCAGCACACAGCT